TTTAACTGGACTTCTTTTTGAATAGGGCTAAACCTGAGACTGTTTCTGTGCTTCCTACAAGTAGCCAGCAGAGTTGTAGATGTTGGAGCAGAGGCAGTTTTGGGGGAGAAAAGTTTGGCATTATCCTGCAAGATCCCAGCCACACAACAGGTACTTCAGGCAGCAACTTGGAGCCAGCCGTTGCCTTAGAGCATGATAAATGGAAACCCCAACAGCTAGCCCCAAGGTGGCCCTAAAGATATGCGGCTCACAGTTAGCATTTTCTGGCAGTGTGGAGCCACATGTTGAACCAAGCCTCACAGAAGAGGGGCAGGCATGTGGCTGGTGCGAGCAAAAATTGTTCCAGGAAGTCTGATACTGCCTAGGCTAATCCCTGCTGATATCCAGAGAGGAAACAGACTCCAAACAGCAAGAGGCTCTCTGTCTCTGTTTTGGAAATCTCACAGGAGCTTTTCTTTTCTGGCAAGCTGTGTGCCTGTGGCAGCTCAACAGCTTGCAGTCAGTAACTTTTTTTTCCTGCATCAGCAGCTCCAGACTTCAAAATCCTCCCCAGTCCTGCCCAGGGTTTGTCCCTGACAGGGATCCTCAGCAATGAGTGCTGCTGTAAGTTTAGCCTGGTTAAAAAATTTTGGGAGGTGACTCAGAGTGCAGCTTGGCTGAGCTCAGCCCCTCTGAAGACTCTACCTCTTGCCCTGAACATCCTGACCAGGTAAAAGCTTCCTCAATGCATTTAGAGTATCAAGACACTCCTGTCTAAGGGAAGTGCTTTTGTGTTATGCACAGCTTAGTGCAAAAACATTCAGGATGTGACTTGTCCTTTTTTCTGTGACAGCTGACCGTATTTTCGCACATCCAGTGGTCCATGTAGGAAGCAAGGAGCCGTGCTCTGCAGGAGGTGTAGTCAGGACACAGGAGAGAACAGGATAAGGGGTGCCCAGAAGTTATTTTGGCTCCCTAGGGTGGCACGTTTTAGTGTTGAATTGATGCCAAACCAAAATGTTTCTTTCAAAGATTGTCTGCAATGACAAAATTGTGACCTCAGGCTGCAGCGTTATGGGAATCCAGCGGTGCCCCTAACCTACCTACCTACCAGAAACCATGTGGTTTCTGACGTGCAAGTCATTTCAAGACAGACTGAAGAATTCATTTTGGTTTCTTCATGTTTCTGTGAGACAATGAATCACCTTGCCACTTTGAATCGGATGTGCAGTTTGTCACATTTCAAGCACTGGCACACACCTTGACGAATACATTAGATGTGCTGTGGATGAGCTAGTGCTACCATGCCTTGAGGGATTTACCTAGCTGTGAGCTGTGGAGATCCCCTTTGAAGGAACAACCCTGTCCACTGCCCTGTGGGCTCCAAGGTCTACACCCACCATCTCCTCCCTTCCAACTAAACAATTAGTATTTAATGAAATGCCAGGCAGGTGCAGCAGAAAGGACTCAAGCAGGGGATCTCCACAGCCCCAGTCTAGTTTGGGCCTAGAGGGGGGGAAAAAAACCCTGCAGTCATCCACCTGTATGACCCCCTCTCATCTCTGAGAAGACTCAGTATTCCTCATTTTCTCTCATGTTCGAGGCCACGATCACTGTGTGTGCTTTCACCGGCGAGTATGACATCTGTCCCAGAGAAAACCCAGCTGCCTTCTTTGCTTTCCAAGCCTCCAGTTATATCTTACAAATATCAAAAACCAACATCTTCTGCTTCTTGTGTGTTTTTGTGCCTCCTGCATGTCAAGTGAGCTGATTTTACAGGTACCCTGAGCCCCAAGGCCCCTACAGCTGGCTCATCTGCCCTGACCACCACCTCTCCCCTGCAGGTTCTGGACCAGTTTTATTGCCTTGGCTACCAGGACACAAACTCCTTAGAAAGACTGAGTAAGTGGTTGCAAGTGAGGAGCAGCTAGGTCAGGCTCTTACAATGGCAGCCTGCTGACAGAAGGTAAGAGATGCTACCAGTGCATCTAGAGTCTGACTGGACAGAGAAGCCTGCATTCCAGGCATTGCCAGGATTACTCGAGTCCCGTCCTCTCTGGTCTCTCCTGAAGGTCCTTGTGCACTACTTCACCTCTGAATGTGTTAAGTCCCCTCTCTTCCCGTGCCGTGCTGGACATGGTAAAGCTTGCTAGGGAATACAGGTCCCCTGGACCCAAACAGGAGAGCTGTAGACGCAGGTGCCCTGTGTGGTGTTAAACCTATCGCTCACCAATGCACAATGCAGCATTGTTTGGTCCCTGACCCAGAGACCCAGCTCAGATTAACTGTGCACTGTGGCCATCAGCCCACTTATTTTCTAGATGAGCCTAGTCTCACCTCATATTGCTGGAGACCTCCTGGTAGTTTGATCCGCAAGCAATGTGACCTGAGGTTTCTTTCCCCAGATGAATTTGGTGTAAGTTATTTTGCCAAGGACTCATCAGGTCAGAAAGGCAAAGAGATCCTGTGCTGGAAGCCAGCAAGAAGGGTACTGCACTCCAGAGCCACAGACTCCAAGGACAGCACAAAAGAAAACCGAGGCACCTGCTGGGCAGCAAATGAAATGGAAGAGGAAGCCCAGCAGCTTCTCCCACATCATCAGAAATAATCATAGGTTTTCATTAGCTAAGTGACCCTTACCCAGGGCTCTCGTTGCAAGAAAAGGCTGTCTGGTTTCTCAGACTCCAGTAGATGAGAACATCAGGAACGGGAGGGAGTCCCTCCTGGGTCATTGGCTATTAGTGAACCCTCATGCTGAGCCTGCTTTGGGTGAGGCTGGAGGACATAGCCATATTTCCCCTGCTTCTCACAAGAAACTCATATGACAAATACCACCAGAGCTCCTAGCTGCCTGTGCATCATCTCCCCCGCAGATGTGGTGCAGGTTTTAAGCCACACCCCAGCCAGGAAGGTCCTGTTAGAAAGTTATCTCTGCTTCTGTGATACTCTTCACTAAAACTCCTTCCCTCCAAGGCCAGCTGTGGGTCAAGTCCCAGCAGACTGTGTATCTCAGACTTCTTATTCCCTTCAAGTCCTATGGGGATTTTGTGCCCATGCAGAGAGATGTTCAAAGGAGTTGAGGAGCACAAATCTCAATGTAGTGAGCATTGTGTGATCCAAGTCCCTTAGCTGCTTTGGCAAATCTCCTCTTGTATCTCTTGTTACCAGATGCACAAGACCAGTATGGGGCAGGTGTATGTTTAAGGTGTTGGCAAGTGTTTCCTGCCTCTTGAGGCAGGAGGTGTGTACAGCCACAACATGGGAGCTTGCACTTCCTTGCAAGCTCTTGTCTTTATAAATTTATATTCATTTATTCCCTTCCGTTTCTTATATCTATTGACTCTGCTTTGTTAGGTCCACCACCTCAGGAAAAGCAGGACGTGCCTGGACAGCTCTGCAAGCCCACTGATAGTGTGTTAAAGAGCATCAGATATTTTTGCCGCCTTATCAGAAATTCATTTACTCTCCTTGCAAGGTAATAACAGCTTCTGCCAATGTATGTTTTCATGGTGGGTAAGGGAAGGAACGCAGCATGTCTCAGCCAGTAAAGGCGATCTGGCTGTGCCGGTAAGAAGCCAAAGTTTCTACTTAGTTGTTCCAGTGTACAACCATGTGTAAATACTTCAGTCTAAGAGCAGCTTATTACAGCTGCAGAGAAACCTCTTCCTGACTCAATTTTAAGCAAAATAAGGCAAGCTTCAATTCAAACCTTCTGATTTTTCGAAAGCCTGTGCAAAATAGTGCCCCCTCCCATTTCAATTTTGACATAAACTGAACTCTCAGCATTTCTCACTTCCAGTTTGTCTTTTTATTACCAGCAGAATACAATGAAGTATGAACTGGGGTACAACTTTGCTTTTTTCCATTTCTGAATCTTTCAACATCTCAAAATTTCTCAGAAAAAATACACGGCAGCTTTTCCAAAGTGGTGACAATCTAAAAACGTCGCCATGTGAATTAAAAAAAGTGAAAAAGACCCCAATATTATTCTGCTGTGTCTAGGAGGACCACACCAAATGAGAAGTATAGAGAAAAAAAACAGAATCTTGCCAATCCAGATCTAAAAATAAAAGCTTCCAAAGTATAAAATGAAGAAAAATTGATTTTCAGTGGAAATATCCTCTGAAGTACTGACTACTTGACCTGCGGGAGGAAACATACTATAGAAATGCACAGTTTTAGGCAGTACGGCTTGCTTGTGTTCTTGCTTTTTAAAAAACCTTATCAGTCTGAACTACATAGAGATTTTGAAAGTGATACAGTATTCCTTGGAGAGTGAGCAAAGTTTGGGTTATGTGGCGTATTTCCCTTGCTCTTTGGTTTGGTTTGAAGGGTAGGAATCAAGCTGAGCTTTTCCCAAGCCAACAGCTGGTCTGCAACATTATTCACAAACATAAGATCATCCATGGAAGGAATGCAGACTCGCTTGTTAAACCAGACAGCAACCGAAAGGTAAGATGGGGCTCTCCTCCAGGGGAGTAGCATCTCAGTTTTTTCATGGCTGGAAAGGAAAAGCCCTGATGATCCTAGAGCAGAGAAAGGCTCTTCTGTTGTTTACGTGCACAATGCTCTAAGATCCTTGGTGCTGCCAAATAAGCAAGAAATAATGCTGCGCACAGTTCATCCCCATTTTCCTGAATAAGTCAGAATATCTTCAAAAGGACTATTGCTGCGGAAGGACCCGTGCATGAGCAAGGCTCAGACTGAATTAGCTGGCTAACCACGAGCATTTGCCTGCTTATCCATCTGCCCACCAGGGCAGTTGCAGAATGAGCTGTGCACTCCTGAATGCTTAGGCTAGAAGCAAAGTCTGGGTTAATGCACCACAGCGAAAGGCTAGAGATGCAGGCAGAGTTTGGCATGTGTTCATTTTGATTTGGCTCAGTTGTGTGGATCAGGCCCTAGGACTCTCCCTTCTTGCTGCAGCCTGCTGCATTCCT